TTTTACCGGCGGTACTTCTGCAATATTCTGATTTGTTTTTTTTTGTTTCGGGGTTTTTTACATAAATTTTTCAAAAAAATAAAATTTACTCATTAACACTCAAAGAAATGTTAAAGTACAAAAAAAAACTACTTTCTAATATAAAAAAATTCTATTTGAATCCACCTAAAATTTGACAGTAATAATATGGGTATAAATTTGATAGCAAAACATACAAAATTATTTACATATGTTAAATATAAAGATATCTGCTTATACAGAGAAGTAAATTTTTTGAAAACTCATGGCATCAAGAAAATAATTTCATTAATGCACAATTTCATTTCTTACATAAATCATATATAAAAAATTAATATTTGTCTTTAATTTTATTAATAAACTAACAGAATAATCAAAACCCTATTTTTAAAACAATGTTCAACTTGTGCCTTGAATTATTCTCTTTGACTTCTAAAATTTACTGTCGAAGGGAAAAATTATGCTGAAAATTTAGAAAAAACGAAACAAATTCAGGGTCAACGGCTGACTTGGTCGACCATTTTGTAATAATCTCTATAAGTCGGACCACCACCATTTTGTAATAATCTCTATAAACCGGACTACCACCATTTTGACCGGACCACATGACTGAATAATTTAAAATGTTTTTGTGATTTCGATATAATAATTTATCAAATAATATGAAAAAATTTCATCGAATAACTGCATGAAAAATATTTTGTATTTGTTAATGCCGAATAAAGTTATGGCACTTCGCTGAACAAGATTACTTTTAATTCATATTAAAAGTAATTATTATTCATATACACTTCATACACTTAATTTATGAAATAAAATCTATCAAATCATAATATTAATAGCTAGAAGTTATTTCCACCTACATACAAATAAAAATTCCTTTAAGCTAACCATTATAATCAGACCAAGTAAAAGGTTTATATAAAATAATGTCGCTCTGCAAAAAAAGCTTATAAATTATTTTTTAAAAGAATTAATAAGTATGTATATTTTTGTATGTGATTTATCTCATTAAAGTAAATAGCAGCAAGTACATTGGCAGTATTTGCTATACTCTACAGTCTACACTATATTGTTTCTATTCCATCATCATTCAAAAATACACTGTACCTTTTTTTATACATAAATAATCATATACAGTCATAGCCACAATTATTTTCACAAGGCAAAATTTTTGTAAAATAAAAGTTTAAATTCATATAACTTCTACAATTATTAATATTTTAAGTCCATATTTATTTTTTAAATTCATTAATGGTTTACATATCAATACATAAAAATAAAAAGCAAAACAAAAAAACACAACAAAAAATAAAAACAAAAATGTAATAGCCAAAATTATTTTCACACATTCTCATAGCGCCAAAATTATTTTCACAAAGCTTCAAAAGGATTGAAAACCTAGAAATAAATTTTTAATTTTTTTTTACTTTGAATAATCAGACTTTAACCTAATATTTGGTGTTTCCTCCCTTAGCATCAATGACCGCCTGGAGTCTTCTCGGCATTGATTCTATAAGTACTCGCTCCATTTCAGAAGAAATCGATTCCCAAGCATTTAAAGTGTCCTGCCAAGCCTCGTCCTGACATTTCCCAATTCTAGCAGGAATCAGTGATTTAAGGTTGTGCCACATGTTTTCAATTATATTTAAATCAGGACTCTGCGGGGGCCATTTAAGAGTATTTTGTTCAATATCTGACAAAAATTGTTTAATCATGTGGGCAGTATGAATAGGCGCATTGTCTTGTTGCAAAATAAAATTAGTACCAATAAGTACATCGCCAGCAACAATTGCAACATTATTCAAAAGTTCTAAATAACTAGATGCAGTCATTTTATTGGGGCATAAAACAATGGGTCCTTTACCATAATATGAAACACATCCCCATATCATAATTTTTCCTCCATTAGAATGACGTGTAGGGGCAGTAACTGCTCTAGTTTTTTTATGTATTGTCTCAGAATGATAATAATGTCGCCCATAGGTGCCGTCTGATGAAATCGTAGTCTCATCGGTCCATAATATTTGCTTCCAATACTCTAAAGACTTATCTTTATATTCCAAAGCAAATTGCAATCTAGCCTCTCGATTTTTAGGAGTAATATAGGGTTGCTTGCGAATGACGTAAGATTTAAATCCGTTCTCCTTAAGTCTCCTGCGAAGTGTTGTCATACTTACTTTATTTTCCCGGTTGTCGTTGAAGTTAGACAACGCTGATTTAAAAGTTTGGCGTGGATATATTTTAAAAGACCGACATATAAGTGTGTCATCTTTTTTATTTGTCACTCTTTTTCTCCCTCTCCCTGGTCGGTTCTCACAATTATGATGATTTTTATATTTGTCTACAAGGTAATAAACAGTTCGCCGATCACAATTATATTTTTTAGCTATTTCTGAAGCTGAAACACCGCAATTAAACTCAGCAATTGCTGTAGCACGCGTTTCGATTTTTAATTCTGCTTTTTTAGGCATTTTGAAAATTTATATGCACTTCACTGGAACGCAACTTTAGCTCTAATGATTGCAAATTAATATTTTTTCATTTATTATGGTGAATTGTGTTCAAATTTACAACAACAAATCAGTAACAGTTATTTGAAGAGCTCTGAAAATAATTGTGGCGCCATTGACGATATGTGAAAATAATTTTGGCTATTAGATTTTTGTTTTTATTTTTTATTGTGTTTTTTTGTTTTGCTTTTTGTTTTTATGTATTGATATGTAAACCATTAATGAATTTAAAAAATAAATATGGACTTAAAATATTAATAATTGTAGAAATTATGTGAATTTAAACTTTAATTTCACAAAAATTTTGCCTTGTGAAAATAATTGTGGCTATGACTGTATATACAAAAGTATATCATATATACATTTATACATTTATAATATATTTAAAAATATAAATTCATGCGATAATATCCTATATAACATTATACGGATAATCTTTAAAATATTATTAATATTAAGTATAACCGGCCGTAAGTCCGCGATCTCAATTATTTACTAACTTAAAAAATAAATAAAAAACAAATAAAAAAAAAAGCTTATCATATTATTGTAAAATTTATTTAATGCCGACATTGCTGTTACTTTTTCGTCATCATGATATAGGATTCCTAATACATTATTATCTTAATTATATTTTATATATACTATATTATATGAGTGCCTTATAGGGTAAATATGGTAAAATTTTTTTATAATTTTTATCTTAGTTACTATTTATAAATATACGACAAAATTAAACCCAGTTTGACATCAGAATTTTTCTAATGTAAAATAATACAAATTCCTCTATTCTCATCAAAATTACTGTCAGATTTTTTAAAACTAAAATGACGACAATTAATTTTTTTGCGAAAGTTTTGTGTTACTAATATTTATTTTGGTTATAATTTTAGTTTTACAATTACAGCTTGATTGTAAAATCGTTGCAAGCACATTTTAGAAACTAAACTATTACGTTAATTTAAATCGATTGCAATCAATTTGTTAAAAAACTACAAACTGTTTGATTGCTTAATTGCATACGAATATACACAACTATATGATGTACGTGCGTGTTTAAATATAAACGTATGGAATATAAATCAAACAGTTGCAAAACTAAAAATTGCATATGCATCAGAGCCCTAAGATATTATGGTGTTTGCTTATTAAAAATAAAAATTTTAATATTTAACAATTGGCAAAAACACCATTTACCCTATATTTTGTACACAATGAATATTTTTAAGCTTAAAAAAAGAGATGATCATTTAAGCTGAAGTTTTGAGCACTTTTCCAAAAATTTTTTGAAAAAAAGTGCTTATTAGTTTGACTCTGTCCGTCCGTCCGTCCGTCCGTGGACGCTTTTTTTGTTTACAAAACTTCTACACCCTTGAAGATAGAAAGCTGAAATTTAATACGTACATAGATCTTTACTAGAAACTTATTTCCGTAAAAATGCCATTTTTTAACTATTTAGTGCAGTGAAACCATAAGCATTTTTGAAATTTTGCAAACGTAGAAAGGCAGTGGCTTGCTTCCCCTAGCGCGGTATACTACTGTTAAACTTTAGAAAAACAAAATGGCCGTTCAAATTTACCGTTATCTAAAGTCCGTTTTTTCCAAATTTTTGATATTGTTTTTCTTCTAGACCCCAGTCTGTAGAAGGTTGAAATTTAATTCAGGCTTTTAGACACTAATAAATACTTCATTTCGTTAGAAGAAAATTTTTTTCCATGTCCATCCCCTCTCAAGTTATCGCCTCTTGAAATTTGTAAAATTTGAATTTTTGACACCTTATATTTCCGAGACCGCAAGATTTTTAAAATTTCTATAAGCGCAAAAAGCTAAAGGTAAATTCCATAACATTAAAAAATATAATTATTTTTCTTAACTCACACAATTAAACCTTAAAATCGAGCATTATGTGAACCCCTCTTTATATTATTTTTCGCTTTATTTAAAAGACTGCATAAATCGTTCATCCTAAATATATGCAATCCTAGAAATAGTTTCGTTTATGAATGAAAATAATTTTAATAGTGTGGTAGATATGCGTAGACTGTATTTAAAAGCAGTATTTTCACTTGTTGAAGGGAAAAATGCTACAATACAAATCATTGGTTTGACCCAACTTTATTATTATTGTTTGTTGTTATTTTCTATTGTTACTATATAAGATAATAGATACATACATAATACACATACATATTTTAATAAATATATTTGTATGTGTATACGAAATTCGCAAGTTTACCGTTCTATTGAAAAAAAAAATAAATAAATTGTTTGTTTTTCTTCTTTTTTTTTTGATTATCTTATAATTCTTTGCTTTTTATTCCTTTTTTAGGTATTTTGATTATTCTTCTTATTATGATTTGAATTTTATTTTTTATTTTTTTTATTTTTCTTTTTGTTTTTGTATATTTTTTTTGAACAATTTTGCTACAAAAATTCTTTATAAATTTTTAAAAATCAGTTAAAGATTAGCCGTCATCGAGTTTAAAACGTTATCCAAAAAAATTACAAAACAAAAAAAAAAAAAAGAGAAACAAACTTAAAACAAAAAGCAAAAAACTAAAAAAAAATAAAAGTAATAAGTTTATCTCATTCATCTTTGTAATTTTAAATAAAAACAATACAACATTAACAGTTACAAAAACAAAGAAAGAGAAACAAATAAAAAACATAAACATGTTAAAATCAAAATAACGGTTATTAATAGTTAATAAATTATTTATTTATTTAAAAAGAGACAGAATGAATATTTATGATAAAAATAAAAAAAATATTGTTAATAAATTTTTTTCATATTTAAATAACAAAAATGAAAATTAATTGTAATTATATAATTTTAAATAAAAAAACTATTAATAAAAATATTTCACCATATTTATTACATTGAATTATGCACATACATATGTTACTATACATATGTTATTAATGTTACGGTAAAGGTTAAAAAAATATTTCTTTTATACTAGAATTATTAGTAGAATATCAATAATTAAGGTAAACTGAATTTACTCTATAACCGCACGACAAAAGAAGTTTCAATTAAATGATATCATGACATAGCTTCCACCTATATTTATTTAAATTGAATAATTAAACAACAATATTTTTTTGCAATTTCCAATAAAAATTTCAATTTGAAAAGAATATTTTGCAAAATATTTTATTATAAAATAGAATAGAATTTAATGAATTCAGCTGTAGAATACTCAATTTGTCAGCTGTAGAATACTCAATTAAATTTCCGAAAAATTCATTATAAAATAAAATTTGTAAAAATATTTGACATTTTTTATGACATATGTAAAATTGACAGAAATTAAATACAATTTTGGGTGCGAAAAAAACGGAAAGTGTGGTAATTGCACTTTTCTTAATTATCAATTATTTTTATAAGCATTTTTTTATTTTAAACTTATTGTTTTAATATTATTATAATTAATTATAAATATTAGTCAATGATTTGTCATTTAAGTGAATAATTAAATTAATTCTTCTTATACTGTATGCTTAAAATTCAAAATTTATTCAAAAAATTCAAAATTTCAAGCTTTTTTATTTAAATTTTAATTGTAAATGTTGAAATTAATAACTCATTTATATTTTTGATTAATTGTTACAGTATCACTACGTGACTTTAAATTTAAGTTAAATAAATTGATATCAAAATTTGAACCAATAACTTATGATATTTGCATAAAGGTCTGCTATTCTAAGTAATCATATTCTAAGTCCAATTAATCTGTGCAATCTGTTCTAATCAGCAATTAAATATTATATTGAGTAAGATGATAATTTGATATTAGATTTCTCTTTCACCCTAAATAATTTTAACTTTATTGTAAGCAATGCATAATTTAATTTCGAATACCCTTTAAATTTTACCTGACACTCACTTTTACCGTTACCATTTATATACATTTCATTTATTATCATATTTTTAATTTAATTTAAAAAAAAGATATTTAATTTTAAATTGAATATCACACAATAATAACGTGATTTATATAGGAAAAAATTAAAAAAAAAAAAAAACATAAAATATAAAACACAAAATATTCTTTTGTATTTTAATTCTTTTTTATAATATTAATAATATTATAACAATTTAAATCTTTATAATATTTATTAAATTAAAAGCATATATATATATATATATATATATATATATATATATTATTTATTGAATAATTTGACGTTTTTAAAATGACAAATGAAATACGTAATAAAATATAAATAAAATTTAATTAAAATTAAATAATTATAGTTAAAAAAAAATTAAATATACATTTTTATGCACATACAAATAAAAGTACCCTATAATTTCAAAGTTGTTAAAAACATATAAAATTTTAATATTTATTATTTTAAATAATTAATATTTGTTTGCTTAATAATAATTATAATTACTTGTATATTAACGATCAAAATTTTGTTAGAATTTTACAATAATTTAATTAAGTATATTGACTTACTAACATCAAGTAAATTATTATTTATTTAGTTGAAAATATTGAATAATAAAAATAAGAAATAAAATAAATGCTGTTTAAAATTAAAAATGTGAGGTTATAAATTTTTATAATTTAATTAAAATACAATAAAACAAGAAGATATTGACAGAGAAAGAGAAAGAGAAAGTGGGTGAGAAGCACGAAATATAAAAGAAATAAAAACTAAAGAGAAAAATTTAAATAGTATTGCCGTTCTCGTTTAAAGATATATGTATACAAAATATGAGAATATTCACAAATATAACAATTTTATTTTTTAATATACCACTATAACTTTAATATTCAAATTTTTATGCTTAAAATATACTTCTTATGCTTAACATTAAATGCAAGTACCTGTAGCAAAGTTTGAAAACAAAATTCAAGTAGGTTATACGGAGAATTATATAATATTATAATTGTATGTATACAAAACATTTCAGTATTAAAAATTAGATATCAATGACTGAAATTAGTTTTTTTAATGTCTGCAATGAAATTTTCTGAATTTTAAGGAAGAATAACTCAAATGCTTTTCAAAAATAATAAAATTAAAGCGAATTTTTCTAATTTTTTTTCAGAATTATAATTCGAAATTTTTAAGGTTATTTAAGTGTATGGCAATATATTTATTAAATTTTAAATTCAAGTAAATTTTGCAAGGTATCAATTATTAAGAATTCATTCGTTGGCTCCATCTACAATAAACAATATACAATATTGCTACCCCGCATAAATATTATAAGTAGGGGTATATACAAAAATGAATTTCCAAAACGTTAAGTCTCTTACACATAACAATATCATAAATGCACATATCTACTACCTACCATGTAATTTTTTTCAAGTGAAATTTTAATCAATTAAATATTGAATAAAAATTACTAATATTAATAAATAATAAATGTATTTATGATGGTACATTTGGAAAATAAGTTTTGTTTTTTTTTTTTTTTATTTAACTGACTCATTTTATAAAGCAGAGCACGCATTATCATAAAAGATGCAGTAAATTTTTTTTTTAAAAATAATCTGCGTTATTTATTTTTTATCTCTACATTAAATAGTTACATATAGATAAATGTGAATATACTCACACATATTTTTTTACTGTTTATCATCCAGATACTATCAAAAATTTTTATATATTAAATGATAATCAAATGATAATTTTATTTATATAATTATGATATATTTAACAAACGTTAACACTTATATACTATCCGTATTATATGCTACTGTATATTATGTAGCCATAAATATAAAGAAATTTTTTAAATGTAAGTTTCCATTTTTTGTTTCTTGCCTTTATTAGAGTTTAAATTTAGATTAATTTTTAACTAAAAAAAAAAATTTATATTAATAATAATGTTTACATAACAAAATAAAATTAAGAATGTTTTATTAAAAATTTATGTAGTAGATTAATAAATCTACACTTAATAAATTTTAAATATAAAATTTTTTTTTTTATAAATGCGAAAATGAATGTAAATTTACAATTCTTTGAATTATGGAAGTAAGCTTTACACTTGAAAATTAAAAATGGTAATGTTATTTAATTAATCATAAGAAATAAATGTTATATAAACGTTATCGAGGCAAAATATACTACAAAAACTATTATTGTCGATAAATTCACACAATAGTTCCAATTTGTTAATATTATTTAAATGCGCTATTTAAAAAATTCTATTGATAAAAAGCATTTTTTATACCCTCCGTCTTTATTTAGGGTATATTAACTTTGGTACGAAGTTTGTAACAACTTGAAATAGTCATCTGCGATATGGACATGTATATATAAATTTTCGAGCAAAATTCTCTTACGAGTAAAACTAATTATAAAATTATCAATTCTAATTAGATTTGCATGTTCTCTAATAATTTTGTTACAATAATAATTAGTGAAATTAGTAGCTGAATGTCTGTAACACATTTTCTTTCGAATAACCTTATTCTTAAAGAATACTCGAAATTATATATTAGAAATTGAGTTTTTTCGAAAATTTGAATTTAATTTTTAGAAAGTTTTCCAGTTTAATTAGTTTTTCAAAATTTTTTAATACAATCATTTTGTTTACAATGAAAATTTTCTAATTACAATTTGAATTTGAATTGCCATAAAGAATATTTGAGATAATTTCATTATTTAATTTAAATTAATATTAAAATTTAATAAAATTTGAAATTATTTCTGTTTTTACAATATTTTAAATTTTTATCTTTTTTTCTCGATTCTTCCATTTTTACAAATTATTCTTTTGAATAAAATATGAAATTTTTTTTTTATAAAATTTGTTTTTCTTTTTTTTGCATAACAATTTAATTAAGTAAATTATATAAACTTATGTTTGATGCATAAATTTAGTGCAAACATATACACATACAATTAAAAAGTTCAAATACATAAAAGAAAAAATAAGAAAATAAAATATACAATGATTTTTATTTTACGTTTTCTTGTTTTCGTCCTTGAACTTGAAGAAGAGATCTGTATATGAGATAATATCTCAAAGTGGTTTATAAATCTACAATTATATTACAAAAAAAAAAAAAGAGCATCGCCATAATGGTACACTATAACTAAGTAGATGCATATATTAGACATAAAATATACCCACTTACGCATTGCTTCATGCTATGTACATATAAGGAATATGCAAAGTGGAAGTTTAATATAAAAAAAAAATTTAGTTCTAGAAACCTTAATTTTTCTCTTTTCATAATTTTTATTTTTGTCTATTTCTTAAATGCGAAAGGGCTTTTAGATCAACGAAACAAGAAGGTTGATTTCAAATATTTGTTACTGTACATACATACATATCTGCATATTTGACGTTACTGTTTACATATACGACATAATTTACGATTTAATTTGGGTCTGATTATAAATACATATATATAAACCCTGTTTGACATTAGATTTTGTCTAACGGAAAATAATGAAAATTACTTTATTCTCATCAAATATACTATCCTATTTTTTTGAAAATAAAATGGTGACAATTAATTTTTTGCGATTATTTTGGACAACGCGATCAGCTAATTTTTATTGAATTGGTTGATATTTTCATAGCAAATT